GTATATATTAATGTCCACTAGAGATGGACTTTATTTCTCTCACTGTCCCCTAACTCTTCCTGTCAATCTGTCTCTTTGTCTGAACAGACGTAGACGAGTGTTCGGACAACAACGGTGGATGCCAGCAAGTATGTGTCAACACTATGGGGAGCTACGAGTGCCAGTGTACGGAGGGGTTTTTCCTCAGTGACAACCAGCACACCTGCATCCATCGCTCCGATGGTAAGACTGGGTGAATGCAGAAACTGTCAAATGGGTGTCGCAGTAAGGTAAATAAAATAAAAAAATAGAAATAAAAGTCCAAATTTAATGTATACTTATACAAAATATTTAATTAGTATAGAAGAGAAATAAAGGCAATATTTGTACATAATTGAGATCGCAAGAATTTGACAAGACAAAACGATGGAGTTAGCGTTTTAGTAAGGACTGAAACAGCAATAGCAATAATTACTAAATGGAACAAAATAAAGGAGCTTGACTTTCTATTATATACTAACTTTGTACATCATTTGCCACTACTACCTGCTTTGCCTCAGCATCGTATTTACAAAGCAAAGAATGTCAGAGAGCTGCCAACGCAAACATTAAATATGACCTTCCACCACAAACACAGGCAGGTTAGGGCTGGCTGATCTGGCCAAAAATTCATATCAAGTGGCAGATTTTGAATTTGTACACCGTATGCACTATTACGATCTATAGCTCAATGTTTTTAAACCTCCTTTGCATCACTGTATTTATGTATGTATGTATCAGTCCTAATTCAGTGGTGAACTATGGCTTACAGGTGCTCTTCCTTTCACCCTCACACCATCGTCATCCTCTCCCCCCAAACTAACATCTACCTCACATTATCCAACAGCGGGAATGATTTTTATTAATTTTACCTTTAACAAAAAAGCTAAAACACAGCACAGATCATGTTTTTGACGAACCATCACATTACATTCAGGACCATTCTGTAAACATTCTGCATTAAATCAATCTAATCTTTAGAGCACAACTTATAAGCATAGCGAGATGCTAACAATAGCATGCTAGCCAACATTGACATCACTAGGCCTATTTAAGGGGGGCTGGAGCCCCACTAAATGTTTTAAAGCCCCTCTAAATTATTTTGGTGTAAAAAAAACTTTTTTTTACAAAAATTCAATAATAAATAATTGTTTAATATTTCATTATTAACTAAAATATATGATCATAAATCTGTCAGATTCCCTTTAATTTAAAGTGTAAGGTAGAGATCCTCTTTGGTGTGTCGTTATCCAATCCATTCCATTTGTTCATAGAGTACTCCCCCACCACATGAAATCCAGTCTATGTTTTTCTACAAACTTTGTTATTCAATCCATTTCACTTGTTCATGGAGTACTCCCGCAACACATGAAATCAACTGCACATTTTTCCTGCAACCTTAATAGCAGCATGCTAGCAAGTTTAAACACACAGAGCCAGCTAAGTGCAGCATAAAGGCTCAGTGAGCAGACCAGGAG